GCGTGGCATAGTGGTTAACACTCCCATTTTCTAATCTCGAGGGGTAGGTTCAACCCCGACAGGGGCCAAATCATTTTTGTTTATTTTTTGGAGTCTGATATGCATAATGACCAAAACGGAATTCACTTTAAAGGCGCAGCATGGGTCTCACCACGGAGAAATTCGTTACAGTGTGCATCGTTAAACCTAACTCTTCCCTCTGTTTTCATTCATCCAGTTCTATCTATATACATGACGTATTCCAAAGTTTCCGTCCTCATTTTTTTCTCTTTTTGGAGACCCTTCCCCTCCGTCCCGCCCGTTGTTTTTGTTCGGTTTCCTGGCGTCTCCCTAGGAAACATGGGCCATTTCCATGGCTCCTCCGTGGTCCCTACCCTCCCCCCTCACAGAAAAATGTATATACATTCACTTTGAAAAACAAAAAGCAGCATAGCAGACCCCTTCTCTTTGTTTTTGTTTTTTTTTTTTTGATTTTTCAAAATAATAATTGAAAAATGGGATCCTCCCCATCTAAACGATCGGATCAAGTGGAGGAGATCAAAAAGGTTAGTTTTTTGGTGGGGCGCATTTTCATACAATTACCTAATTTCCAATTTTTATCCTCAGGACAAACCGGAGCCTGTAGAAAAGTGGGCGGAGCATGTGGATCGGTCTAAACCGGAGGATATCAAGGAGGTGATCCCAAAGAAAGGTGGAGGAAAACACAACGCAAAAGTGGTTCCAACCAGTGACGTGGTGACGCCGAAAGGAGGAAAATTAAAGTTGACGGAGGGAGTTATTCAGGTATGCGCCTTCGAAAGGGCACCCCAATCCCCTAATTTCATGTTTCCAGGACTACATAAACATCGAAAAAGCGATCAATCGTCTTGAACGGAAGAACGTTCTAAAGAAGTTTGAGTCTCAGACGATTTATGCGGATAACTTGAAAAATACGGTGGAGCAACTGGAGGCGGTGTTGAAGGAGCTAAAGAAACAGACGTGGGTGACCAAAAAGATACCTTTTTTCTTATGAATTCGGTCATTTTCTGAGGAGCTTTGGCCCAGAAAAGAGTCTGCTCCACTTCCTGACCTCTAAAACCTTACTAGAAAAAAAGCAAAAAAGATTTGACCCCAATGGGGTTTGAACCCACCATCTCAAAATTTAAAAACAGCAGCGTTAGCCACTAGACCACCACGCAACAAGAAGAACGTGAGGGGGAAGGCAGAGATATTGCGGCGCCCGCCAGGAAAAAGAGGGGGGAGGAGGCGCATGGTCCCCTCTAGTTGAAAAAAAAAACAGTCTATGCGTGGTCTAGTGGTTAACGCTCTCGCTTTATAATCTCGAGGGGTAAGTTCAATTCCCGATGGGGCCAAATATTTTTTGTTTTTTTCTTGGGGTGGACCATCAGCCATACCGGGGCCCACTCCTGAACCAATTTTTTTTTCAGAAAAACGGCGAAAAAAACGATCTTAAAAAAACATTCGAACAAACCATTCGGTTCGTGATTTTCCCTCCAGCAACAAGGACAATGGGAACGATTCGTTTACTTCCAAGGAGAAGGCAGAGTACGAGGGAACCCTCTAAGTTCGTCCAGAAACTGTTTCAAAAAAGAGTTGAATATTTGCCCGTGTTAACTTATGAATAAACGCTTGTCAAAATTCCGGAGATTTTACAAGCCAACAGACAGACCAATTTTGAAATGCGTTTGTATGAGG